ACCGGATATATTATATAGAAGTAAAAAACCAAAGTCATTGCCTTTACCATAATTGAAGCGTCGTATTCGAATGGAGGAAGTAACGTGCTCATGAAGCAAGCAGGAGAAGTAGCTAAACCCATGTCAAAAGCTAAACAGCCTGCACGAGCTAAACCCGCGAAAACGGCCGTGCTTAGCTTCCCACCGGAAACTCGTGGGTCCCGTCCGAGAGAAACCTTAATGACACCATTTCCGCTACTTTCCGTTGCCGTAACCCATTCTCCGAAGCTCTCTGCAATTGCTTCAACAGCTGCAGGCGTTAGGTCAACCGTTCGGCCTTTCTCTCCTTCCAATGCGACTCCTCTCACGTCAGAACCGTTCTGTAACCGTCGAATCTGGTCCATGTCTTCGTCGAGACTGTTGGTTACTTGGTCGAACTTAGTGGCATTTAAAGATCTTGTTCTCAGGGATTTAACAGAAGGAGAAGCTTGTGTGAATGAGAAGAAACTCCGTTTGATTGTTCTCTGTGAGGAGAAAAACAGAGCTGTTTCGGAGAGTACAGTTTTAGATGCCATTAAAGATGATGCTGAACTCGACGCCATAGCTTTTCTCCGTTTTGGAAAATTTTGGAGTAAATTAGAAACAGAGCAGAGAGATCTAAAGAAAGAAACAAATAGCTGCAAATATAATTCCAAGCTTAGATTTTTATTTTTCAATCTTGTTTGTATCTCTATTCGTGATTTTTCCCTTAGAAGTGTTTTTCAAATTAGAGATTTGGAGATGGATAAGATTCTTAACTAGATGAAACCATAACCTTACGTTTGAATATCTCTGCAATTTCACATTTTTAACAAACCAAACAAAAAAAAAACATAAATATCCTCAAGCAAACTTCCAAGATTATCAGATTTAAATTGTCTTTTTTTCCTTCTCCACATTTTTTTTCTTCATCTGAATAACAACAACAGTATATTCTCTTTTAAAATCCTGAGGAGACTACTCTCGCGGGAAACCAAAAACGGTTTCGGTTATAATCTAAAACCAAATATTTCCATTACAAAACAGAGTAAGTATTCTGTTTTACTTATTATATAACTTTGTCTGAAAGTCAAGAACAAAGTGAGATTTATTTTATTTTTATTACACATAGAGAGAACCATCAAGATACTTGAATTATTTTTGTTTCAGAGTCCTCTACCACCTGGAATTTCAATCCATTCAAGCTGAATTTCGACCTCGCCGCATTCCACATTCCTCAATACAAGAATCATGTCCTGGAAGATCTTGCCATTATTGGAAACGATTCTGCTCTCTTCAGCCAAACAGTTGTCTCTAGTCGGCAAAACTTTCTTGATCTCAGTTCCATGTGGAAGTTCTTTCAAACCCAATTTATGAACCTCTAGGAACGGTTTGATATCGATCTGCGCATCTCCCATCTTGTCGTGCGATGTGAATGTATCTTTGTCATACACTATCTCCACTCATAACAAAAACCATAAACACACAATCTCAATACAAAAACGAGTGGTTTACTTACAAAAATCGAAAAAATCCAACGGGTGATATAGACTTATAGTACTCACTAGATTCACAGGTTCATTGGGATCTTTGATCGCAAGTGTCATTTCCTCGTTCCACTCTGGATTGCATTCATTTGCCACGGTTCGAGTCTTCAGCTTCTGGTGCAATTCAACGATTTCATAACTTTTATTAGATTCCATGCAATATTATAACATCTTAAGATCATAAAGGCTTTTTTGTCACAAAACGTACACATAGAGCTGTATCTGTTAACCAATACGGGACCGAAGTACCATAGAGCCTATTTTCTATCTCTATCTCTTGTATCAAAAGTCAAATACTAAAGTCTATCATGTTTCTTAAAGATCGATTCTCTCTACGAAGAAGTAAGTGAGAAATATATCTCAAGAACATCAAAAAGATCGAAATTCGGAAACCAGAAGATCAAAACCAGATGAGAATCAGAGAGAGAAGAGAGACCTGAGAACCCATGGTTATGATGACAAAAGGGTCGCTGCTTAGAGAGTCTCGACGAGCGAGATTGATCCCTTTCTTCACTCTGATTTTGAGAAGCCCTATCAATTCCTCCATCTCAAAACCTCTTCCTCTGTTCTTCTTCTGAATTTTGAAGAGAAAAACACACCACGATCGATCTCTCTAGGCTCTGACTCTTCTACTTTTTTCTTATTCCTTAAAATATAATCACCGGCTCAAATTCAACGAGACCATAAATAAATTGGCTTTATCAATGGACCCAAGAGCGTGGAAAAAAAAAAAAGACCAACTAAAATAGTACTTTAAAAAAAGGTCTCTTTAATTTTCCAGGTGTTTCTTTCTAAGTAGTATATTCTTTTTTACGCGTTACTCACACGAACATCTTCTTGATTCTTTTAGGTAATCATATCTTCTTGATTTCTTTCTTTTCTGATTTAAAAAAAAAAAAAACAAGTTAACATCGTTGACCTTTTTATATGTTTTACATCTTCAAAAAAAGCAACACTCATGAGAGCTAGTTAAAGAAAAACGTTGAAGAGGTTGTAGAAATTCAGGGGTTTCTTTATTTCTTTCAATAGTAGAAACAGATACAAATATATATGTATATATTGGGGTTGGATTATTCGACATGTACAACTAAGACCAAAGCAGAGCATTTTTTCTTTATATATATAGTTAAAATCTGATGAGACAAAAGACAAACTTTGTCTCTCCATGAACAGAAGAAGAAGAAAAAAACCATCACATCTTCACGGTCTCTGTTTAAAACATTCCTCAATCTTAGTCCAATCGTTTTGTTGGCATCCATGGTGTCTTCTTGGATCCTGAGAGAAACAAATGCTCACATTTTAAATCACAAAAAGCAAAAAAAAAAACTCAAAAACCGAGGATCGTTGCGCTACATACCTTCGCGTCCAAGGCCCTTGCAGCCTGGACCATCAGTCCACTCAAGCATGATCTCCACTTCACCACACTCAACATTCTTTAGTCTAAGAATCATATCTTGTTTGATCTTCCCATTGCTCCAAGTGATGCTACTCTCTTCGGCCAAACAGTTGGTCCTTCCTGGACGGATCCTCTTAATAGCACAACCATTAGGGAGCTTCTGGAAATCTAACTCCATTTGATGAGCTTCTAGGAACGGCCTAAAGTCTATTTCTGCATCACCCATTTTGTCATCTCCCGAGAATCTGTCTTTATCAAACACCGTCTGCATAAAACAGACCATAATATGAGCCAAACGCGGCCACGGAACTTTTCTTTTAAGGGGGAAACAATTCCAAAATAAATGCATCAACAACGTAAAGCTAGTAGCTTAGGCTTGTAGTAGAGTTTTACCCGCAAAAATAGCTCGCACGTAAATCTTAAACTTGTTGCGTAAAATGGTAAGTGAGAAAAAAAAGAATTTAGTTAACTGGTTTCTAGAGGAGATCATTGTAATAGACGAGATAGCTTACCAGACGGATTGGATCATTCACATCTTTGATTGAAAGGGTAAGTTGTTCATTCCAGACTGGATTACAGTTATTATTGATCACACGCGTCTTCAGTTTCTGAAGAAACAATATCAAAATGCGTCAAATACACAAACATATAGTTACATAATACAATTGATGATAAAGAGGGCTAGATACCAGAGTACAAACACAGGTAGACACAATCATCTAGGCCAAGTAATTATGTCACTAAACATGTTTTTATATCGAGCTGTTAACTATCCACTCGTGACCCCGAAAGAAAGCTTTGAAAGATGACCATTCAACAACATTATGAAATCACATATGCTTTTTTTCAATAAGACTAAAAGTTTATAAGGTATGGGAAATGACCCTTCAACAAGATTATGCACCGAGGCTAGTCGACTAGACATGTATCAATCGTTAAAAAAAGACTAATGCGAGTCAGTTTTCCTATATTGGCCCTTCAAGAATCAAGAAGATTATGTATTTCAAAAGACATCTATATCTTTTGCAATAATACTAATGCTCACAAGAATYGTAATTTCAGGCAATGACAATATTGGTGTTTTGAAAAAGTTTTCTTGTTTTTTAGCAAAGAAGGCATAAAACAAAGATCAAAACAAGATCTTTGTCACATGGTGGTGGCCACCAAAAACGTTCACATGTTGATCAGTCGATGACATTGTGCCTCCTCCATGTGACTTTATAAAACTCTATAGGATCTATAACATACATTCGAAAGTCCTCAATCAATATCAACAAGATGTGAATAGATGGGAGATAGAAGAGAAAGAAATTCTAAAGATCATAAGCCCGTGATCCAAAAGGTCAATCCTTTCTAAAAGTTTACATTTCATCAAATGCAATAAGAAGAATCAAACCAAAACAAAATGTATAATGTGATCAAAAGGCAAGAACGAAAATAAAATAAAAATTCAAACCTGATTAGCCAATGTGATAACAACATAAGGATCACTGGTCGTGGCATCACGAATGGCGAGATTAATCCCTCTTTTCACATGAACTCGTAGAATCCCTAGCGGTTTATCCTCCATTGCTGCAAATTCCACCG